CAAATACAGCTTGGATATAATCACCGTCGTTGACTGAAAGAAAAACGATGATCTTCTACGATAATCTATTTTGATTGATGATATATAAAATGATATAGGTAATAAAAACTTGCTTACAAAATTTCAAATTAAATTCTATTGGCGACTTAGCAGACCATAATCTAAGAGTATTAACAAAGTTGTTTTTGTATCCAGGAACCGGATTATCATATGGCATCGCAAATACGACCTGATCAAAAGCAAGGTATGTAAATCCTTTATCAATAACTTTAACTTATTAACTGTACAGATTTATTTTATGTATACTAACTTGAGTATTAATCCATTTCTTTCCTTCAGGAGTATCAATCACCTGTCCATAGAAGTTTACAGGGAGCATGAATTCTGGCCTAGCCTTCTCCCACGGATTTCCATAACGTAACCAATCATCTGGTTCCTCCACCTGTTCTCCATTTTTTATTTTCTGCGCAAATATACCATATTCATATCGAATACCGTAACCATAAGCAGCCAGGCCAAGGGTAGCCATACTATCCAAGAAGCAAGCAGCTAGTCTTCCTAAACCTCCATTTCCTAAACCTGCATCTTCTTCAAGTTCTTCGAGCTCTTCAATATCCAAGCCCATCTATAATACAATCCTTTCTTAATTTCTTTTTTTACGATTTTTATTATCGGTAGATGATTTTAGAAATTTTATTTGAAACAAACCTGATACATAGCTTCGTCACAAGCACCTTGGATGCCTAAGTTAATCATGGTGTTTTGAAGAGTCCTTCCCATGTAGTATTCCAGGGAAAGATAGTAAACTCTCTAAAACAGTAGAATAAAAATATGTTACATAATACGGGAAATAAATTAGAACATTTCAGAAGGTACCAATTGTCTATTTATGTATTTTCAACGATAAAAGATTATTTTTTAAAGATAAAAGGAAAAATATCATTATTTACAAGTATACTGTACATTTCCGTACGAACATTGAACCGTAGGAAACATTGAGCTTATGATTCTATGATGTAAAGGAGAAAAATAAAATTCAGTATTATTGTGTCTTCTGTGCTTCCGTTATGAAATCGTAGTGTACATCTCGTGTTACGCAGCGAATGGCCTAACTAATAAAAATAAATCGAGACGACAGTCTGAAACGAGAGAGCATGCGAAAGATAACGCTCAGTTAAAATTGATCTTTATTACGTTCGACGATTACTCCGAAATTTCGTTTAGTTCCTCCACGTGTTCGACGGTCGTTTATTTATAGCCGAGATGGCTGAAGATACTCCTCTAATAAAATTTAATATTATTTCTTCTCGTAAAAAAAATTGTACTATTTGTATAAACAAAAAAATTATAGGAAATAAAAAAGTGGAAAAGTTAATGAAAACAGATATGTATTAATTTCTTTTATACGTATACGCAGAACAATGAAAATAATGCTTTCCTTTTCTCAAAAGTGTTACTACTTTTGCAAAAAGTTTACAATATTTTTATTTTTGCATCTTTTCTTGGAAACAAATTTTTCAACTTTTTATTTCAACAATATGTAAGCATTATTATATAATATTTTCCTTTTTTAACGAAGCTTGTCATTATTGCCTAAAACCAACAACTCAATATCGTAATCGATATATCCTTGTACAATAGCTGTCAAAAGATTAAACAACAGAAACAGTATACATTTTCAGAACGTTTGCATAATGTAACGGGACCATATCCAAAAGTCTATCCGGTAGTAAATGTGTTAAACGTGACTTCTCGGCTTTTAATAGTTGTGTCACGTGATCTGTATTGTCCAACCAATTTCAGTAATTTGTTATGATTAACGTTCTCACAAAGGAAACCCTGCTTGTGACGACTTATTTTATGCTTATTCTCTTTTTATTTTTGTTACAAATGTACAAACTACATTACAAATTAATCATATACACATAAATATAGAATGTATATAGTAATTTGTAATTACTCTATTAACATACTGATTTGCTTTTTTATTCTCAATTTTCACAAGATTCTAATGTTTATATTATGGTTACTAACGTGAGCAGAACGATAGCAATGCCCTTACCTAAAGATACTACCTACACTTATTTTATTCCTGTCTACCTACTCCTACAGTTTTATGGGTGAGCACCACTTTCTACTTTTGTATTATCTCTTTTCTGTAATCCTGTTTTTTTACTTGTTTCCTTTAATTCTCTTTGCATACTTTCTCTTTCTTTCTCAACTGCTCTTTTCCTTTATGTTCGCATTTTCAACGCGTGTCTTTGATTTATATACAACTATTCTAAATATACGGAAGGCGCAATTACCTAAAGAAATATTTCCAAGAAAATTTATATTTAATCAGATTTATGTTTCGTGATCGTAAAAGTTAATCGTAAAAGTTGGCCAATAATTCTTACTAACTATGCATAATATTTTTTTAAATAAAATTTACGCGTGCGCTCTGGATAATTATTTTGCTTATATAAACGAAAAATGTATGACTAGTAATAGTTGATTATAGCTCAATGTTCAATATACATGATAATGTATCTTACAAACAATTCTTTGTAAACAATTATTATTAATCCATCGATATAGTTGGAATGTTTTCAGAGATTGACGACGGTCTTATCGCCATCATGACATCACTTCGAAAAGAATGAAAACTGTTTGGCTTAAGACCTCAGGGTAAGGTGATTATAAGTCAAACTGAAAATAGACACTGCAACGTGTTGCATCTTACATTTCGAAGGTTCATTTCAATATAGCATCTGTTTATGTAAGTATAAATAGTATTCATACGTAAGTGAACGGATTATTTCATTACTAAATACATAAAAATTTTACCGTTTCTTTCGTTTTGCTTAAGAATTTAAATACCTAACATTAGTGTATATTTTCTATTAGACAAAAACATTATTGTTTTACATTTGTTTATCGTGATCTAATTTTACTTAATATTAATGTTTACTTCAAAATAGTTTACTTATCAAACTAATTGCAGTTTCAACTAATCAAAATCATCTTTAATATGTTTTTACTTTGAAATTATTAACCGATGTGATTAACCCCTTAATCTACGATTTACTACTATACAAAAACATTATTGTTTTACATTTGTTTATCTTGATTTAATTTTACTTAATATTAATGTTTACTTCAAAATAGTTTACTTATCAAACTAATTGCAGTTTCAACTAATTAAAATCATCTTTAATATGTTTTTACTTTGAAATTATTAACCGATGTGATCAACCCCTTAATCTACGATTTACGTTCGAGAATTTTGGGCCAAAAACGTAAATAAGCTATTATATATTATATATTATATTTGGCCCGATCATCGTACTACGGGTTATGCCCGTAGCTGTAGCTGTAGCTGTGTCATAGAAAATGCATACTTAAAGGCATCATTAATCTATTGTATTTTTTGAACCATTTTCAATTTAATTCTGTTTTTTCTTGCGTTAAAAAATTTAAATTTAAGGGAAACATAGAAGAATCGTATTGATAACATGCTAATGTAGTTGTTTGTCGACTTAACTTTATGTTAAAATTTTTCTTATATTAAAAGTTGTATTAGAAAACTCTTCGCTTATTGGAATAAAAGTTTAACATGTATGTATTTCTACATGTATATATCACACAATCTAAACGATTATCAAAATACGCAATAAATTAATGTTTTAATAAATATTAGATATTATACTTACCGACAATCGTTAAACAAGAAATCAAATTTATTATAATCATAATTTTCATGCATGAAGGTTATGGAGTATACATAATAAGTTTAATAACTTGAAGAATTAAGTGATCAATGGTATACTTGCATACTTTTGGGTCTTTCTCGTAATAGTATTGTTGAGTGCGTATCCATCTTGAGACCAAGTTGTCCTTGACGCTGTGTGCCAAGGCCATGAAATAATCTCTACTCGTAGCCACATTACGATCTTTCACCAAAGTGTAATGAAGATGCCTATTGAATGTTTTCTTAAAATTTCCCACATTCTCCACATCAACAATCCCGCGCACAGAAATTTGTTTCCTCTTTTCGTGATCCATGTCTGATGCTGACATTTCTCTTTGTTTATTTTTCTTTTTCCTTACAATATAATGTTTATAAATGCAATACTATTTTACTTATAATTTGTATTTGTTTATTTTTGTTACACAAGATCAATTTCGTGCCCTAACACTACAGCTTTAATTCAACTTTCTCCCGTTTTTACAAGAATCAAATTCCCTTTATTCTATTAATTACTATTGTTACTACACAACGTTATATACAAATGTTGAATTAAATTCTGAAGTTGTACTCTCACAGATAAGGATATGTTACAAACGTAATACTTTTATTGATGATTCGGAAGATTGGCGAGAACAATGACCGGTTTTCACGACACATGAAAGAATACCGGTAGCACACAAATCCGCACTCGTATACTGCACACAGGCGAATGACATGCGACCAAATCCTCGAAACGGTCACCTTGTATGAAGGTCGCGCAGGCGCATTGCAATGGATTACATCACATGATCTGCAATGATAATACCGACCAGGTTTGGAAAAATTAAGCATGCATTCCTGCCACCTATGATGATCTTCCGACACTGGTTTGAAAAATTCAGTAGCGTATCATTAACTGACCATGGCCCCGCTTTGTTAACTGGCTGTTGCTATCCCCACTACTTTTTGAAACTAAGAGATACATATGTACTGAAAATTTCCTAGTTCCTAGGTCCTAGAGCTGTTTCCTTCGGTAATTGGTCACATAACATCCAAATCCACGATCAGTTAACGTGATCCTATTATGTTATCGGTCTAAATTCTACGACAAAAAAGAAAGGTCTATCCTATATTTCACGTACTAATAAACGAGATACGAATGTAATAGCTGCTTTATCGTATCGTCAAAAATATTATATAATAAAATGGCTACTTACTATTTTAGAATACTATATTAGTTGATTTGATCTAGATATTATGGAGGATATAAAGAAAGCAAATTGCGTAATTCAGTGTCTTATTTAATATAATTTATTTATAAATTAATCGTGCGGATGCAGATGCGATAATGAAAACGTCAATAAGCGATACGCGTATTACAATTTGCATTCTGATAAAGATTCTTCTTCCGTCTCTGTCTATTTTTCTCGCATTTCTTTCCCATCGTAGTTGTCTCATTTGCGGACGTTATATTTTGAAGTAAAGATTAACGGTGGTACCCGTTATTGAATTTCATCGAGACTCTGTCAAATCGTATCATCGTAAGGAATCATGCGAATGAACCTTTAATGCTTCACGATACATCGATCAACGATGCTACATGGTGAAAAAAAATTTGGATGAAATTTCCAGGTACCAGCGTCGATTTGCTTGGAACGATATTATAATAAAAATTCGCAATTCAGCCAACAATTTTCAATCGTAATGTTTAACTATATAATTACACTTAATAATGTGATAGCGATAATTGTATTGCTCGAAGAAAGGAATCTTCGAAAACGCCGAAGAAAAAACAGACGGCGCTACTTCTTTAAATCTCACATACTCACATACACACGCGCTCGTTCATCATTCTCACATGTGTGTGTTTTTCAAGAGTTATTAATGAATGATGACACAAAAATCGAGTGATATGCGGACCCACTAACGAGTATTAAAAAAATCGCTTTTTAAATTGTCTCTTGGTTAAAATAATATTACTGTAGAAAGAGTCACTATTTATGATGTCTTGCTATTGCAATAGTATTTCAATAATTTTAACAGTATTCAATCATCAAATACAAAAATAACCTCATTGAAAAAGCTGATTGTTTATCAGTATTGCAAAATAATTGAAAGATCATGATCGAAAAAGACGCATATTAAGTGCTATCTATGTTGATAATATAGAATATTATAGCAACAAAAATTTCCGATTGGCCATTAATTGAAAACCATGAAACTATTGATTATATATTATTATTGATTATAAAACGATAGCGTATATTGTTGTATAAAGGCAAATTAATTACCAATTAACAATATAATTTACTAAAACAAACTGCTTTCTTAACAGCTCGTCGTAAAGTAATAAAAGTTACTTTATTTTTTAAAGAATAAATTTTCAAATATAATACAAATTATAATTAATCCTTCGTACAATTTAATTGAAAAGAACTGCTAAATTTCTACATGTAAACTTCATAGAAACTCGAAATCTTATGTATATTAAAAATCAATAGATTTTTAATTAAATAGTACCCATACATTATTTATAGCGTCATTTAAGAAACTAATTCAAGATATGCAACATTCGTAACACCATCAACAACAAATAACTTTCTAATTTATCTTTCTTTATTATCTCAGTCTATTTGTCCCTCTTTTTACATCCACTCATACATATGTAACGCATTCTTCCCCTGTATAAAAAAATGACTTTTTAAAGGCAATTAATTATATATAAAGTAGAAGTTTTAAATTATTTTCACAGGGTCATATTTGACTGTTACTGTTAACAATTATCCTTTCCTTTGTTTATTTTTTAAACGAAACATTTAACAATAGCAAAAAGAGCGAGAGGCTTTTGCTAAAACAATTGATAGAATTTTAAGATCTGTATTTACAATTATATAAACCTTATTTCTTGATGTATTAACTTATGCTGATGCAATGTATCTGTAAATATGCGTATATATTGTAAGATATAAGTTGTAACGTGTTTTATACGCTGCTTAAAGAACATATTATAGACAACATAAATAAATCATTTTTGAAAATACCGATTCACAGATGAAAACGGGAATAGTCGCCAATATATTTTATTAAAGAAACAAAATTAAAAACAGAAAAGTAGAATGTATATTTACATGCTTCTAAAAGCAAGTACGAATATTATGTTACAAATAAAAATCCAGGAAACTGATTTAAAGTCGCATACTGAAAAAAATAGTAGAAATCTCAGAAGGCTTTGTTTAAAATAAATATTAAAATGGATTTTAGATCAGTTTCTCATAACGAAATTATCTAGATCGTTGAAGATAAACAAAATTTATTGAAAACAAAAAGATTTTCCATATATCTTTAAGACACCTATATTATTTCATTCTTAACATTTGAATATAATCGTGTAATATTAGTGTCATACGTTCCAATGCGTGCATTTATTATGTGATGTTAAAGAATAAAACAGCATTACATAAAGTTTTTGTTATAAAATTCAAGTTTGTAAACAGTATTCGTTTGAATTTATTGTAAGACTACTAAAAATGAGAGACAGACCAATATTTTATTACAAAACAAATTACCAATTTCAGTCATCTTGATGAATATGCAATCAGAAAAAGAAAAAAGGTGAAAAGTACAAATTTCAAACGCTAATGGCTAAAAGAAGAAAAAGGAAATACCCCTCTCGTCATCTTTGTGCCAAAGATATTTCTGAATAACTTCTATTATGAAATTAAAAAAATTTTTTCTAAGAACTAAATGATTAATCATGATTGATCTCAATGGGACCGCATATCATTCTATTTAAAGAAGAAAGGTCAGTTTAGACTGATGTGGGAGAGTGCGAGGAAAAAAACAAAAAAAAGGAAGAAAAACCAGGAACCCCCTAAGAGACACACGCATTGCACCGTTCATGGTTTTTGCATAGAGTACACCAAAGGGCTCTATTCGCCTCTCGCGTTGCAACAAATTAACATAATCGCTAAATGTTACTTCTTTCCATTTATTTCGATTAACAGGGACAGCTTGTATAGATCCAGAAAAGGAAAACTCGCATTACGACATCGTCGGACATTGAAATCCAGCTGCCGAACTTCCAAAACATTGAGAAAAGGCATTCTTTTCCTTATTACCTTGCAATCTTTTCTCGCTGTTCTTTTTTTCAAAGCAGTGTTTCTTTCATTGCGATTTTTCACATTTCCAACTCTTTGTTCTTCTGGAGATACCCATTCATTTTAGGTAATTTTATTTTTCCTTCTTCTTTTTTTTACATATACATATATTTTCAATAATCTTCCATTACAATTTCTTTGCAAGCCATGCTTCTATTGTAGCTACTTTTTTACGATTTTTTATTTTTTCATACATAGGAATTTCAGAATTTAAAAAAATTATCCAGTTACTTTAAATCTTACAATGCTAAGAACTTGATTTTTCTGTATCTTTCGTTTTCTTGGTATATTATTTATAATATATATATATATATATATTATAATATAATATATAATATCATATAATATAATATAATATAATATAATATATAATATATATGTATTATATATATATATGTCTTCATTGTGCTCTTCTTTTTGACGCTGGTGTTACATTTCATCTTTTCTCCGTTGTTTAGTTTCTTTGAGTACTCTGCAATTTTTGCTAAATATTTCCCTTTCACCATTCTTCGTTCGATCTTCATATGTTTTGTTCTTTATTTCCTTTTTTAATTTCATTTTGTTCCTCTGCATTATCTTTTCGGTTCTCTCACGTGACCGCTCTGTATTTCGTTCTTGCATGGATTCCGCAATTGTCCGACAAATTCGCTTAAGCTTCTTTTGCCCCCGCGTGATGATATATTCTCACATTTATTCTTCCTTCTTTGGCTCTTTCTTGCCAAACGGTATCGCAGCTTTCACTCTGAAACGACAATTAAAATATAGATGTTTTTAAAAAAATTTGAATTTATATTTGTATAAAAAATACCATTTTATTTTATTTTTTTTAACGAAGATTAATATGCATCTTCTAATTTAGCAATATGAGTATATTTATACAAATTATATATGTAAATGTATAGCAAGTAAGAGAACAGAACTATTCCCATTTCCCTTTACACAGAGAACCAGTTCAAAATATCATTTTAATGAGTCCTGCACCGTGATGGACATCTACTATCAAAACGAAAATTGCCAGTTAGTAGTCGGGGGAAACTATCAGCAGCATTTCCACTCTATATTTGTCACGAAGCAACGTTAATATTTTATGCAACAAATGCCTGATTACAGGGAGTACATATGCTACTTTCAAAATATAATCTATTCGCAATGTAATACATCATCAGGTGATATTTTACTTTATTTACAATTATAGGAAAATTCTTCCAAGAAAATATTGTTGTAATTAAATTATGTTATTCAAAGTGTTGAAATCAGATAATACGGGATAATACAGAATTATTTGAAAAAAAAACTCTGTTTTGTTTTTATTTTAAAACGCGTGAAATACTGAAGATTATTTGATGAATTGTAACTTACTTAGTAGTGAGATCGTTGATTTTGCTTTGTACCAGTGCTAGATTCTGGTCAATTTGTGCCTTATTTGTCTCATAGACCTTCGGCAGTGTGAATAAGGCAACCACTCCTAAGAAAAGATCAATTGAATTGGTTATAGAACGCGCTAGATTTTTCAAAATTCATGCTTATATCGAACAATCACATAGTCTAGATAATATTAAGAGGGCTCTAACATTGCTCAACGAGAACAATGACCTCATTATACATTTCAGTGAGGGTGCGAATATGCCGTTAAACCGCAAATTTAGTCTCTTGACGCTGAATATTTCGTTAAGACGTCAGTTCTATTAATATTTCTAGATAAGTATACGTACAACTATTTCCTGACTGTAGAGACAGAGGAAAACTAAGAATGTCTCGATTAAACATATTTTCATAACATTCGATAAACCACAAACTTAGTGTGACTTATATTAAAACAGAAAATGGAATATTTGAGAAATTTACAAAATTTACCAATTATGACTAGAGTCATGCCATTGAACCAAGAACCCACGTAGGTGAGACACCAAAGAAGGACACCAAATTTTAAAGAGTCGACGAAATCCTCGACAAGGAAGAGCCTACGAAGTTCACTGACCGCTGCGTTTAAGTGTGCAACAGCCACGTCTGCCACTTCGTGCACCTTCTCCGCGGGCAATGTTAAATCCATTTCCAAAATGTTCCTAAAATTATAAATAACTTGTCAATATGTTATTGCTTAGATTTTAATCTTTCTCACAAATTTTTCTGAAATTACTTAATCTTCAAAAAGTTTCATATTTCTGGTGTTTTAAGGCAAATGAAAAATTCTTTCTTTAGGATAAGAAATTTCATTTTTACCGACTTTTATCTTTGAAATCAGGGTACTTACTGGAAAGGATGCCCATCGGAAGTTTTCTGAATAGCTTGAAGAACGGTGTTGTGAATCCTAAAGGCAACGGTGCCTGTGAGGATAAGAAGTGACAAATAAGCAAGAACACTTATCAAGCTGAAGTAGGCCAGCGAGAGGAGCACGCCGAGTATACACCCGAACACGGGGCCTGATTTCTTTGGATCGCGCCAATAAATTAAAGCTGCCACTAAAACGAAACAAAAAATACACCGTTATTAGAATCTTCAAATTCGCAATTATTATACTTTCATTATACAATCTATTGCAATACATAGTGCTTTCACATTCTTATTAATTCACAAATATACGTAATAATAAAAAAAACATCATGTTTCGATATCCAGGAAATATGCAATAAGGATAGTATACAGAACAGATAGTGTACAGAAGGGGAGACCCTTATCGAAGTTGACCATTTTCTTAAAATCACAAATTCCACGTTCACATATCATCTTTCTTTTCTACATAAGATCTTTGAACGTCGAGACAAGTTCAATATAGGTATTATCCGAAACTGATCAAAATCATAACAGAAACATTATTAATATTACACCACTTATTAAGATTCTCAAGCTTATATTCAATACAGATCAAGTAAAATCCGTCCATCTCAATATTTTCGTACGAACACGTGCTCCTGAACCATATGTTAACAAATCTTGTCGAAGATCGATTTTTTCCTAGAGAAAAGACGAAGACTCACCGGTACCTCTGTTGGGAAGCTCCTCGATGGCTGTTCTTAAATTATTTTTTCGTACCATTTTCGACGAACGAGCAGAGGATATGGTATAAAAGAAGTCGAAAGCGAGGAAAGCTGAGCAAGAACTGCCAACTCTCTCCGCGGCTTCGTTTACACATGGAGCTCTCTATATGCCTCGTGATATTACAAAGATACGTGTGCATGAGGAGTAGGAGAGGGAAGCAGATACTAACGAGTTAGAATGGGAGAAAAACGAGGAAAGGGAACCGGTAGAGTAATCGCAAATAAAATAGTCACTGAAGTGGAAAGTGGGCAAGGAAAGGTAAATCGTTAGAAGAGTACTTCATTAATCACGATTGATGTACGAGTGTCATTAAGGAGGAAATGGCTGTAACTTTTACTTGACATTATCAAATTTCCTTAAAAATTGTGAGAATATTTTTGGTATCATTTGCTACATTTTTTCCTTAAACGGATCGTTCTGATATTCTATTCTTTTTATCTTGGTGTTATTTTAGTGATATTTATATTTAATCTGATAGCTTTATAGATAAATTTTTTTGGTAGTGGTACGTTCATTATATTACGCAATTGCTCGAGCTGTATCTAGAATTATAGAACTGTGTTTAATTAAATCACGAAGTTGTGAAACTGTTTTAAAAGTTATTTTTATAAATACGTTTAATTTTCATTCGACTGTAAGTCAGAATATGGATCAATTTTCATGTTATGAAGCTCTCAATAGAGTACTCAATGATACTATTTTGGTATCATGCTTTGGGATCATGAAAAGTATCTTACATTGCTTTTCTCTTGCTGTCTTCCTCGAGTCTTAATATACATATTTTGTATCTATTTGCGCTTCTGATTACATTAACAATAAAACTTAACGTACATTATAGATCTACAATCTAGAGTCAACACATCTTAGACAAACGATAAATATTGAAGTAATTAAACATAGGAGGAATCATGATTAATGACAACAACCGATTGTCAACAGCCTTGAAGGTCCCCTAATAATAGAGACCTAGTGAATTCTTGAATTTTGCCATCGGCTTTGTCTCTAATCCAAAAAGGACGGTCTATTAAACTATTTCCAAGGCCCCTTCAACGTCGTGTAATTCTGCCAAATGAATTTATGTCATCTGTTCCAATTCCTGATCGAACAAGTTCTATTCCGTTGAAAATCCGATCCTCTTCAATCTAAAATTCACCAGCAATTTGAAGATTTAATCTTGTACTTTTATATTTAAAGCATTTGAAAGCTTTTAAAAGTGTCTTTGCTGTTATAGAATTTTTAAAGACAATATCAAGAGTGATTAGTCGCAATAGATACGCAGAAGAATGCGAAAATAAGCGAATATCATGATATTTTATCGTTTCTTTTGTGAATTTGATGCCTCCACGGCGACCGGTTGTAAAGAAACTATAACGGATGTGTAATATGTCAACTAGAAGACTCTGTATGGAAATCTATATGATATAATACGCCGTGGAAATATGCGTGCAAGCTCAGCCTGTCGTGTAACTGAGCATGAGCAGAATTAAATATTATATTCTGATCGTTTACTGCATTATAATCAAGCTGTTGCTTTAGTCAATTGGCATCAGTTTCTATTCGACATTTAGCAGGATGGGTATGCTAAGATACTTAGAAAATGTTTAAAACAAAGATATTCGAGGGACAATATTTTTCAAAATTGTAAAGAACTATGAAAGTTTTAATTCTTTGTGAATTTAATTTTCTAGAATAATCCTCGACCATACTAAAATATGTATTAAATATTTAAAGGGCAATATTCTTTAAAACTGTAAAATATTCATATAGAAATTCTAGATATTATTATTTTAAAAGTGTTAAAAATATAGGCAAACGCATATTTTGAAATGTAATTCTCTCTAAACTCTAAGCTTTAATTTTCTAAATTAATCCCCTTTTATACTAAAATATCTATTAAATATTTCGAATATATCATATAGAACGTAGTCTGTGTCTTTTTCATTTCCACCCGTAGGTGGAATATATATTTTGAACTATAAAAAATTATTATATAAAACTATTGAAATCATAAACTATAGAAAATCTTCGAATATCCTCTTCATGTTCTTTATCGAACAGTCCCTGTACGACCGATTCTAGAGGCTGCAACAATAAGATATTAACATTCATATAATTGTTTGCGTGATCCAGACGTATCGAACTCTTAAAGAGGTTCAATCAGAGTCGGAGTTGGGACAAATCCAGACGTGGACAGAATTTAATAGAGCGAGGAAGATAGAGATACGTCGTGCATAAGTATCACGTATCGAAGGAAAAGAGGGGAACGGTCGGGCGCGGTTTGGCGGTAGAAAATCAATAAGATGTCTCTGGTAGTGCGATGCCCGGCGTCGCAGTGTCGGCCGTTGCCTCGACGTCCCTTACTATCCCCAGAAATATTCCTTCCAACGGATATTTTACCCTCCACGAATTCACCCTTCATTTGCTTCTTTCCCCCATAGGAAATTATACACCATATACCTGACTCAGAATTACCATCTCTCTTTTCCTGCTATCATATTCCCGTTGTACACGCGAAGGTTTCTTAAATTACACATAAAACTAACGATCAACCCAGAAAAGTATTTCTGACGTAAAATTTTGTCAAAGTACGAAGAAAATATTTTTTACATATAATATGTGATGACTTGTGAGTTTCACTCTCGCAAGAAAATGAAGTCATTTTCTGCTATATTATTGGTTGCGTTAGAAAAATGAGAATCTCAGTTTTTTCCTATTTTCTATTCTTAAAATTTTGATACGCGAAGAAGAATATTATCCAGAGTATCGTGAAACGATTTGAGATTTTTTTAAAACGGTTTCGTATTCATCTTCCAGCGGAACTGTCGCAATGCGACAGTGGCTTCAGGCAGGATAAGTTTCACGAGACGGTATCGATTTTCTCGATGAGATTTGACAAAGAATTCGATTCTTTTGGCTGCTTTGGATCGCGTCCAAGCGCTAAAAGTAACAGTGTTTCAAAGCAAACAGTGCAATGCTCTGGTCTTTAAAAGTACTCAAAAAGAATTATTAACAAAAGATTCTCATAACAGCTACGCTTCTCTTTCTCCAATGTTTCGTCGAAATACCTTCAAATAAATATATCAATTATACTAGTCCTCTGAAAGGTTCCTTCCATTCACTAATCAAATTCACACATTCTCTCCAGACTATTTGATTCAGCCTTTAAATAATTTCATCCTTCATTAGAAGTCTAACTCTTGCAATTAGCACCAATTCAATATTTAAACAATCGAAAAATTCGTGATCCTGATATCTTTGCTGAATTTCTAGTTTGATCCAAAGAACCCCGATTACCGGCATTATCAAAAGCTTTCGCTTTCGATCGACTTCGAACAATAAAATTCTTAGTTTTCTGATTGCAAACTCAATATCTAACCAACCAAACAATTACTACCTCCTATTCTTCTAAAATTCTTCGAAATTTCGATTTGTTATAGTTGAACCCTAAGATTTCAGTCCTGTTTTCAGCGGATCGCAAAAATCATTAACATTTCCAAAAAACCCCACCCCGGATCTCTGATGTAACCACGTCTGCGCAGTTTCTTTCTCAAACTGGCAACCTATCAACCTCCTCGGTGTATATACCTGCGTCTCTATCAATTCAGATTCGAACAACCCTTTGTGACACTCTTACTCACGTTCCTCCCTCGTGATTGCCATGTTTCCCTCCCTTGTCTCCGCTTCTTCCTCCCTCCTCTAGAGCTCGAGGGACACCTCGAAGAGAGAAGACACTGGCGGCGAGAGGATAAACGGATCGTACACGGCGATGAAGGAAACCTTGCTAGGAAAACCAACGTAGAAACGCGACACACACTCCGCGGTAGAGATAGACTGCGGGCTCGCCGAGCGGAAAGCGAGAGTTCCCTTCGAGATTTCTGGCAGAACACCAGCAGCCTCAAACCCGGCCGGATACTATATTTAAACCCGGCTACGGCCGCCAATCGTCTCCGGCTTTTTTGGATTCTAACCGCGACACGAATCTGTCTGACTGCATCGAAATTTCAATGAACGGGAACGAAAGGGACAGGATTCCTTTGTAAAAATGTAAAGCGCTCGTTTAAATGGTTTACAAGGCGACTGGAACATAGATCTTGCGTGTATATGTTTGATTAGGGGGATATCCGAGGAGATACGAGACAATATCAGTTGCTTGACCCAGACCTGAATTGGAAATACGATGGGCAATATCTTGGTTGGTGATTGAAAAGGGTGTTGTTTTGTTCCGAATAGATTAGAAGTGATACATTGATTGTATGTTTAGATATATGTTTTTGAATGCTCGATGTTTGATCGTTTTCATTTGAGGAAACTTCCTGAACGAGTACTTCTTTTTATATAATAAACATACCGTAACATACAGGATGTCCCACTTTTTCCCCGATAAAATGCGAGAGCTTAACCTATAGGCAAAACTAAGAAAAGGATGTTATATAAAGTTTGTGAGTAAACACTTTGTTACAGAGTTATAAACAAATATTATATGCATGAAACAGGTAACAACGCATTTTCTATTCCAGCACACAAAAGTCAATCGTATTATTTTGTCAGCGTAATTACATATTTTTTTATCGTGTAGTAACAATTCCGTGTCGTTAAAATAGTTGCAGAATATAATAACAATAAGAAACGATTACCTTTGCTGTATTCAATAGTTCAGTACTAACGGCTGGTAAAAATATTAGAATAAGCAAGGATGTTAGAGAGTCATAAAAAGCATGTAACTACGCAAATCAGATAAACACAGTTGACATTCTGTTTGCTATAATAGAAAATGCGTTGTTACCTGTTTCATGCATACGATATTTGTTTATAACACTGTAACAAAATATTTATTGACAAACTTTATATAACGCTTTTTACCTTATTTTTTCCTATAGGTTAAATCATCACAGTTTGCAGGGAAAAGTCGCAACAGCCTGTATAATACATATTATAATAAGCAGAGCTATGTGAATAATCTCTAAATTATTTTCAATTGAAGATTGAAAAAGAAAAACTGAAATTTAACGAAAATTAAAAAATAGCCTGCGTTGCTACGAGAATTAATATAGAAAATTTTGGAACAATATTCATCGGGTCTATCTAGTCTACTCAGATCACCTAGACCTAACATTGTCAAGTAACATTTGTGAATGACGCGATGGATCATTGGCAAGATCCTCTATTTCACACGCGAGTTATCCAACACAAAATTTTCCAAGTCGCAAATCAAGACACGATAGTAACACAATCAACTGTTACTATTAGCTTTATCCACAATCGTTAAGGAAGTTAGCTGATCGTAACATAGAACTCAAGATTCGAGAAGCGGATCCAAACTGTCAGAGTAACATATTGTGCAATTACTAGATTGCAATCGACACTCTACGCGCTAGATTGAATTATCATGACGAAACACACAAACGATTGACGTCAGAGGAGTCTACAAAAATTCATAGCCAGGTCATCGAACCTCAGAGGATTAATATCATTCCAATATCATCCTAAATGCAAGCATCCAACAATAGTCACAACTCAGACTTCTTTGGTATGTACTCTTCACGAGGTACTTGACCCATACACACATACATAGATTGCTCTTGCCTCTGTAGTCTTCAAAGGGAAAATCAATACCACTGACACTGGAGGGAACAAAGGAACCAGATTCTAAGTACTATCCTCGTATATCTATAGAGCCACTGACGGAGTCGATTTTTCTGAAATTACAACAAGAACTACGTCAATAATCACGTGCCATTTTGTGCTAATATCTTGAAGCAAAGATATGTTACCTATTATTAAATTGTGTAGTAAAAAGTAGTAATAGTTGATGATTTGTTAAAATATTTTTTTCAGCACTTTTTCCTTAGTCTGTTGTAGATTTAACTGGTAGATGTTTATACATTCATGGGAAATGTAAATTTGTATAAACATCCGCAGTCGAATTATTACGAACAATACATTCAAATGAGAAGTCACATTTATGTATAGACTTTCAAAGATTTATCGAGGTTAATTATTTTCTTATTAATTCAAGAGAGATTTAATAAACAAATTTTGTGAATGCATGAAATTCCGTCCATCATTTTTATCAAGACAGAGATTAGATAGAAAGGTCATATAATGACCCCAAGCTTTCGAATGATAGTGTATTATGTTTAAAGTTGCTCATAGAGATATATTGGAGTACAAAGAAACAAGAATCGTTAATGTCTTTAGAAGGAAGTTCGATAAAAGTAACCTATTGTACGACCAAAGTGGTGTCTTGATAACTCTTCTTGTACTTTGAATACTTATTACCAGACTTTGTAACGAAAATAACGTTTCACAAGTTGGCGACATGAATGACGTAGTGAATGTACAACTTTACTCGTGAAATAACGATTTCCAAGAGTCTTGCTGCATCTACATTTTCACTATCTGATGAATATGATTTACATGGTACAATTCTCTTGCATTCTTGTTTCCGTGGAATATATTGGAGTTATAGTGTTAAATTATCGGTCAACAATGAATTACACGTATGGAATAATACATACAGGAAAGAAAACACGATGCAGAAGTGTTTAGATAATAAATATGCAATCTCGTAGAGGGAATTATACAGCCAGTACAAAGGTCTTCCGTTCATATACATGGATATAAGTAATTGTTACAAGCTGTTTATTGTTCGATTTATCATTGAAAATTCTGCAATCTTTCGTATTTTAGCAAATTCGATGACAAATAAAATCTTTGCCTCAAAAGTGTATTATATGAATTATAGTATATTTCACCTAACAATGAACTTGTCTCAACGTGGCTTTACATCAAATTTCGGGTAATTTCTCTGTATAAAAGTTATCTTAATCCTACTACGGTCTTTGAATTTGTAGGTACATTTCTCATTTCAATGTCACTATTGTTTCAACAAATACGAGCACAAAAATAACATTTTTCTTGTACTTTTCTCGAAGCTAGGACATTTTTGACGATAAAAGGGCATTGGACTGGTCGGGTTCATTATCAAAATCGAAAACGACACCAAAAGATACAACAGGATTAAACAATACCAAATGTAGAATATCATTTTTACTAAAAATTCTTTCTATTGAAACATTTATCAATTGTCCAGTTTCATTACATTAAAATTTGAACTGGATATAATCGATACGAAAATGATACCTTTTTTTCATTAAAGCTATATTTTATATTTATTATATTTATATATAGAAATACTTCTATAAGCTCCAAGTGGGTCATCCTACATACAATAAATAAATCACAAATAGCGTTCTCTCTCGCCTCACCCTTTTTTTTGTCTTACGTCTACTCTATAGGTATTAGGAGCATAAAACACAAGTATACATTTAAAAAAAAAGACAAAAATTTGACAAAACATGTAGCGATTATATAAATATACTGCTCAACACATAGAAGCGAACGAATGGACATCGACATCGAGTTTGGCGTCTTACCTTTTGGATTCAGTCTATCAGGATTAAACCATGCGTCTGTAAAGAACAGAATCGAATTATGTTAGTTTGTGTGATTGATATAGTTCTATATAATTACTTTACGATGATCTGTGAGAAATGGACGAATGGCAATAACAATAAAAAAAATATTCTCAATGCTGTATAATAATAATAAACGTAGCGATGACATTTCTTTATAATGAACACTTTATCGTTATAATATTGGCTTGTCAATTAGGTGATCGCGGATTTTGTCATTAGGTGGTAACGAAAATACTACGAAATTAGTCTTATCAGTAATAGTATTTTCTAAAAATGATGTGGGTTATAATAGGTGACTACAATTTGAGCTACATTTTCTGAGTTAAGTTACTTAATGTTACAGTAGCTATATAATTTCAATTTATCTTCTCTATCTTACATGATAAACACCGTTAATAGTATTTATTACGTAAAAAATAGAATATAAACTAAAATAGATTACTCCAAAATTAATCTTTTTAAAATTATTAATTAGTTATGTGAGTAGTTATACATTTTAGTGAACTATGTCTTCCTTAAAGAAATATCAGTAGAAAGGCGTATTTCTATTGTACATAATAAATAAAAAATATTGTCCAAAGCTTATAAACAATTCTATTCTAAAAAGATTAATCAGCCTAATTCAAACAGTTATCATTTATTGTACAAAGAAACGATATCGATTGAGACGTAAATAATTCTGATCAATTTAATGAAAAATGTTATAAAAAAAGAAATTCGATAAATACGGGTATTTTATATCAATGATAAGTAAAAATATTTAGACTTATCTAAATCAATCTAGATCATCTATCAATCTAGATTCATTCAAGAACATTTGCACGTGTTCACTCATTGTCGGTATCATTAGCATAAAATCAAACTCTCGTTCATTTCAATTTCCTAATGCTTTCCTACTATGTAATTTTTTCTCTCACAGTCGGTGATTTAACCCATCCCGTTAGTCAAATGTAACAATAAGAATTATTGATCGTACAATGGCTCGTTGCATAACGGAAATATGTATAATTATTATTATTATTATTCTTTTTTAAATTATTCTCTTAAAGATCTATCAACAATTTTAGTTTAAGTCATCTGAAAAAATTAAATTGGATTTTTTCTTCGAAGAAATTAGTACATATACATATATAAAAATATCAAAACTAGTTATACAAATTTTCGTATAATTTTTCGGAATAATATATCAAAAGATTTCAGGAGTGGCAGTTAAATAGCACCTAATCGATTGGCAGCATTCATTGTCAGTGTAATTAGCACACTGCACGGTGTTGCGCAATCATTGACCTCGACTTCTATCTCGATATCTACGTACTTCGACCAAATGACTTGTCATAAAATTTGCACATGTAATATCTAGTCCCTGGTAAATGATACAGTGAATTTGTCTAAATAAAATATTTCCTATCTTTTTTATAACTTTGTAATAAAAAATTAAAACGGTACACCATCAGCGCAAGTCTCATAGATCCAGAAAACAAGATAAAGAAATAAAAAAAAGAAGAAAGAATTTTTTATTCCTCTATAATTTAAGACTAATTTATTTTAATTCTGTTTATATCATTCGCTATTTGTATTACTCATCATTAATCTATTTTATTTTAAAACACAAGGAAAAAGCCAACAGACCCTCTGAATTTTAGAGTTTGTTACGAGAGAATTTCTAATGAAAAGTCCTCTTTCAAAACCGTTATAAAAAAATGAACAAGGTTATTATTATTAATTTCACTGTAATTTATATAAAAATAGAATTTCGTATTTGTTTTTCGAATTAGAGATCCAACGAATTTTTCGCGTATCAACGCGATTTTCGATAAACGAATACATAAATTAGATTTGTTAGAGTAAATATCCATTCCTTAATCTCATAACTGTTATCAAAAAACATTTCTAAAGACATGGAATATCTTGTATTATACATACGTAACGTTACTTCGAGTTATATATATGCTTATCTTATGTAACTCGTGCTTTCAATATATCTAATCATGATCGTAGGTTGATTCCATGTAATTAGAGATAATTGCTGACCTGTTATATTTATTGATCATACCTGATGAAAAGTGATTTCTTTTTTAACGAGAAAACTCCTGAATATAGACACACATACAAACACAATGACTATTTAAATTTCGAAGCAACATGAATTATCCCTAATTTCTACAATGTCAATTCAATTATACTTCCCGAGTGCCGATACTATTTTTGCATCCAACTACGACGATTATTGCTAATCAAATATGCAAACTTCAATTCATATGATAACGTAAAAAAATTCCATAATAATTTTGTGATAAGATATCGGGCACTTGAAAATCTCCAATTGTTTTTTTATATTATAACTGTGCCCATCCGTTAATTGTAAAATAGTAATTAAAAGATATCTCTTAATAATATCTCTTAAACTAGAAGTATATCATTTCATGTATATCTTTTTTATATATGTATATGTCATGTATGAATGAAAATAAAAATTCGATCGATGTCCTTTTTTTATATTTTATTATCAAAAATTGCTATTTACAATATAAAGTATGCAATATATTTATAAAAACCGATAGCCGACGATCAATAACCCACTTACAAATCGCGTTTCCACTGCGCATGTCAGACAGTCGATGCACCCGGAGCTATATAATTATCTAGTTTTTTCACTTTTCTCTTTTTCGCGCTTTCTCTTTGTTTTTATATTTAATAACGCATACGACATGCTATCTGAATGACTTACACGATAAACAACAAGTTTCCTGTGATAAACGCGGCTTTATCTCAGTATTAAAATTAGAGGACTTTGTCCTTTTTTATTATTTATTCCTCTATTGAGTAACATATCTTAAAAGAAATATAATTAGCAAAAGAATCATTATCTGACTAAAGTTGAGTTAAAAAAGAATTTTTTAATGAAACGATTGTAATAAGATACAAGACAAAGAAATTGTGCTGATTTTTTTGTACAAAGAAAGAAACAAATATTTGTTGAGAAATAAATGCATAATGATTTATGTAAGTTATTTTTGTAATTAATTAAGTTTCTAAGATCTCGAGGAAATTGCAACAATTGAAAATAGTAATAAACTAGATTGTATTAAATTACATATTTATATTGGAAAGCACAACGTGAATTTACGTTGGAAAGCACGATATGAATTTAGGATAAAAAAATATTTCAGTCTATGCATAAATATCAAACAATACTTGCGTGTTTCACTAATGAAAAACAGGTTATTAATAAATGATGGTGTAATTTCTGTAGCAATCAATATTTTCATAAAAAGAACAAAGAACTTTAACCATGTATCATGATAAATCAGCTCTTTAAAGAACATTAGGATCATTAGGTTTTGCGTTTATTTCTCATGAAACCCTATAACCCATTGGTAAACATTGCGGCCTTGAAAATTTATTATCTCCAATATCTCTCTACTATTTATCTCTAAGAACCACACATAGTATTGTATTTAAAAAAAACAGTAAACAATAAAAGAAATTTCAATATCTTAACAGTTTCAATAAAAAATCTCCTTCATCTAATGTACAAGTATTTAATCGCATTGTATAACGATGTCTATAATATTATACTACGACATAATTCTGTAACAGAATATTAAATAATATTAAATAAACGCAACTTTATATTTTCTTTATCTCTGTCATATACGTTCATTTTACATAATGTAGAGGTAAAATAATTTATCAATTACGTGATAAAGCTACTGTAACTAGTACGCGCCCTACTGCTGATAAATTGCACCTCGTTTCCGACGTCAAACCACTGAGCTACCTGTTTCGTATTATAGTATGAGCCAAGATGAAACGAGGCTATAGCGTAAAATCTGTTAGAAATTAAAATGAACATATTTCTTTATCAAAACAAGCAAATTGAGAGAGATAGTAGCAAAAAGTTTTGAGAGGTTCGTACAAAGAAATTGTAAACCTTTGGAAACGGGACATTTCAGAAACACGTCATAACAACACATAATATACATTATATGAGTTTTGTTATACGTATGCAATTATTTTCTCAAAACATTTTCAAGCAATGCGTGATATATATTTACAAGACACGATTGTTTATATCAGAACGATAAGAATACAAATATGTGTAGTACACTACAACACCAGGTCAAAATGATCTGGGTTCGGTATTTAGAAACAGTTACAGAAACAATCCATTTTATAAAGTATATCAAAATTAAATTTATACTACATATTACAATCTCTCTTTCTCAAATAAAACAGCGTTAATCATAAGATGTCGCTATTTTTTATTGTACGGAACCCTAGAAATGCAATATACATTTGATTTTAAAATGAGCTGCGGCTATAAGGCCAGCCATAGGATCATCTATACCACTTCTCGATGGTTCAATTTGTGATCTCGCTATATATCTTGACTCATACTATACTTTGAATATGTTATATCTCCTAGTCGACGTCAAATGAGAAAAAAATGGAAAAATTAACATACATGGATGAAGAATATTCCAGAAGCAAGAATTGCCATTGGCGATGCATGATTCTTTGCAAACCACATCGGAATCTTCTTTCTCTTTTTCAGGAGACATAGGGCATGCTGGCTCCATTCTCATTATTCCCTAACCTTGTGTCTCAGTCGAACCAAGGACGACTCGCATTCGAGCACTACCCCAACAACCCACTCTGATAGTAGCAACGACGCACTTTCTGCTACTAGCTCTTTACTTTCCCCGTTTCTTCCACCCTTTTATTCTTTTTTCACTGACTCTACTCGCTTGTTCGCATTCGAATAACTCGTTCCGACTTATTCTATCTGCCTTTGATACACGAAATGATTTTGGACAAATCTATCAGAGGAAAAATAATAGTTCGTGTAATATTGATGTTGCGATTCCCTAACGACACACTATGCTTTGAGGCGAGAACAGGACTGACGAGTATTATCGACCCGTGGACAGTTCCAGATATCCCCACCACCTCGACGCGCCATTGCTAGGTGCATAGGGAGACGATAAGGCTTCGGGTACGGTTCGGATGAAGTATAACTAGTTACTTTTGTTGATAGGAGATGGCGCCTTCAACACTGGTAGGGTCTAGTGAGTTTCAACGGAAAACATTAGATGACGCGGAATTCAAAATATAAATAGGCAATCCATTCGAGTAGAAACAGGTGTATCTACTAAAACAAATTGTTGCATGAAAATTTGAAATTTTTAGAAATGAATAAATCGATAATTTATGTTTGAAAGAAAATAAAAAATAAAGAATTATTATTTTTTTACGTTCCACAATTTCTTTTTAAGAACTTATAGTTCCTATCGACTACAGTAATCCTTATATTTTGAATTTATAAAATATCTGTGGTAACTATTAGTTTATGATCAGATATGGTGTTAAAATATTATTTTGTGGCGAGTATTCTGAAACAGTTGACAAGAAAAACATGACATACTACAATAATGTACGGCGATCGGAAATAATTCATGAGTCAGGCGCCTGAAATTTTTCGTACTGAAATCATGAGTAAAAATATCTTCTTGAAGAACGAAAAAGCGGCTTCGGTTAAGAGCACGACGCATAAAGAATGATTTTCAATTAGTATTACAATTTTATCGATATAAATTTGAACAGCTTAATATTGAATATGTCGCCTATTATATGCAAATTTTTAATTGTAAAATGCATCTTTATACAGACTATTTTCCCATGGGCTTGGCTGTTCCCATTGGTTCAATCAAAAGAGGTCGTAAGGTATCCCTGCTGCGGATCAATATGGTGAGAAGATACGGGTTACTTCGATCCAACGTAGAAACCATACACGCAAAATGAGTACATATCTCTTTTTTCATGGTGTAACCTAATATACTATACAAATACTAATATAAATAAAAAGATATAGAAACATGCTATTTCATTAAAGATATAAAACGTTTAATTCTCTCTTTTTCTAGTGATTTTTCAATGCGACATTGGAATTGTTTCATTTTTCAAATAAAAATTAAATGTCCAGATAAAAGTTATATTATTTGAAGAGTGCTATTGTTCGAAATGTTTAAGTGAAAGCAGTTGAAAATCGGTCACTCAACGAATATCATACACTTACTCGTTACATAGTTCCTTAATGGTACACACCTACATACGAATATATTTAAGAATCGATAATTTGTTACTTGGCTGTTGGCATTTTATTCGAAACAAATCTATAGCACATATTATTAATAGCGAATCTATTGCACTATAATTTACTTAATACGCACTTAACCATTGCACGAGAGATTATAATCGTAAAATAAAGAATAATGTTAATCTAATAAGTTATTCGTAATAAGATGTTAATATAGGGAGAAGAACCATGAATATGCAAACTACATAGAAATTCAACCGCGAAATCTTTGGTTACCGTTATACTAAGTACATCATATATCATAAGTAACGGTATAAAGACGCCACTATCTTGGGGCACCACGATATGATTTGTATCATATTAAAATGATAAGCAAAATACCAATTATCTAAGTTTGCCGTAAATGGCGCAATCGTACACAATAAAGGGTATTAATAATGGCTAAGACTTCACGTAAAAGATTGACACATTCTCTCTTGTACAAAATGACGCAATACATGATTTCTTGTCTGGATTTTTACAATGCTTTTATGAGTAGCCATTTCTCAGTATTGAATTGTTATGAAACATTTGTTTATTTTCTCGAGTATTTTATGAAACTGAGAAGAAATTTAACAATTAAAAAAAACTAATTATTAAAAATTCGGATTAAGATATTTCTTGCGGATTAATTTCTTATGAAGCTGATGAAAGAGTAAAGATGTCTTAAAGAGGTGTATGATGTGCTTGGAATAACTAATCACATCATTACAGCTCACAAACGCAATGACGCTGTAGCCAAGCGGAAGCATGGTTCACTTCGTGCAAAGATGCTAAATTAATTAACATTTCGTACTAATCGTTCATGCTTTCGAGACTTTGGAGGTCGTCATCTCAAGAACATTGACTATAAAATATTCTTCCTAGTAATATGAAATATCTTCATATATGATCGAAATAAAAAAAAGACTGTATATAAGACCTAACAAATTTTTACTTAACCTCATTAGATGACTTATACTATTTTATTCATATCGATATATATCACATAATATCAGTCTAATTATATTACTATTTCCTTTACAAACTATCGACTTAATTATTTATTAAAAATGTAAATGTACTCACCGATTCCCATGCTACTGAAAATCTCCTTTGGAGCAATTTCCACTTCTATCGGTTCTCGTCTTACTTCCTGCTTGATCGATTTGAAACTCTTTGCCGGTGATGCTTCGATTTCGGACTCAAATTCCGATTCCCCGGTTTCTGGTGCACTGATCCGTTCCTTTTTCTCTACATGCTCAACCACATACTCACTTACACTTTCTGCTTTTCTCTCTGGTTTCGAAATTAACTCCGAAACAGGTGGAGATTTTTCAATAACATTCCATGAATTATCCAATTTTTTCTCAGTAGAGGGAGGAATTTCTGGTTCGCGATCTGGAATTTTGGTTTCCTTAACTTCTTCCTTTTCGGCGATCTCTTGCTTCTCATCTGCCTGTTTAGTAACCGGATCGATTTTCATAACGTCCGATTGGTCCTCTATTTTGCCTGATAACAAGTCGAATTCCGGTTCCTTTGATCTAACCTCAAAATTACTTTCCTCAGCCGGTTTTCCTTTTTCTGACTCCAATAATAACATCGTCGCTTTTTTAGAATCTTCTGGTTCATTTAATGATTGATTCAAGGAAAAGTTGATCATATCTTGATCCATATCGAAATTATCCTTCGCACTTCTATCTACTTTCTCGGTATGAGTTTCAAGGTGGGTTGATTGCCCATCCTGGACGTGTTCGAGGTGCTCAAAATCGTCCATCGAATCGTGCTCTCTCCTGATTGGTTGCTCCTTCAACTCGGCCATCTTTGCTGCACGCGAGGAGTGTTATCCTGTCATAGAATTCAACTTTTCCTTTAGGACGTTACCGATATTTCTTCGTTAATTTTCTTTGTAATATCTCTTCGCGATATTTTTCTTTTTAAACTTAAAAATTCTCAAAATTATTAACAATTAGAACAGTCTCTAAAAACTGTTACCTGCAACGATAGTGTTGACGTTTCGTTACGTTTTGATCACCTTTCTTGTTACAATCTCACGTTCCTTGAATTTTTTAGAATCGAAGACTTTAACAGCTCTTATTTCGTTATAACTATTTTACTTATTATTAAGCGATGCACAATAATTTATTCAAACATTAACAATAAGCGGTAGACATTGAAAATGAAAAACTGTTTTAACGCTCACTCTTCCACGGGTGAATTCGATTCTGAAACATGTTCTCCGGCGGAGTATCTCACGGGGTGTGCGTAGTAAGAGGGTTTCCGCCCCACCTATTCCTGTCTGCATCAGGAATGTATACATATTGGGTGACGACTTTGATAAACTCAGAGAATGATTTTAAAATTTTTGAAAATTCTATACTCGCTTATACATATCACATATTTCATTCATTTATGGTCCTTTAAATGATTCTTAGAATAAAAATATAAAATAATGTATCTTAATAACAAATTGCAAAACTATAGCGCTCTTTAATGCAAAATACATTACATATTGTCTGTTTTTATTAAATGTTAAGAAGATAACTTTTATGTATTAACAATCTTAAAAAGATAATATCGAGTCTGGGGTCCGATAAGTACCGTCCGTTCCTGACGTAGCCAATGAGAATTGATAGTTGTCCCCACCATATAGTTAGAAAGAAGGGACTGGAGGGGTCTTACAGTTTAGGACAATGGGTAATGAGTCACGTTGGAAGAATACATAGACGTGTATAATGATCCTAGATGTGTCATATTTGTAAAATATTAGTAAGAAATAACAAAAAATACTATAATTCATATAACACATTCGATCTCGAAAATTATTCAGAAGTTTATCTTTTTAATCGTTTGATTTAAATCTACTTTTAATATATAACGTTCCTTTTTTTATTTTTCATATCCTTTGATAGGGTAGGTCATCTTATTGTTTCAAGTATTTCTAATATCTACTAATAAAACAGAGTATATAAGCATATATGTCAAATGAAATTTTTTAGAATACACATTCAATATGATCTCAATATTTTTTATTGCAATAATATATGACAATTTAAGAATGAAGAAACTTATACTCTTTTATATGAGAGTTATTCTAACATTTCTATCCTTTATTAATATACGTCACATTTTTCAAATAGTAAAATACTAACAATTGTCCTACTCGTGTATAATTTCATTTATTACCTATAAGTTGTTGCAGGTTTAATCATATACATATGTGCATATGTATATATATATTGCATATGCGCGAAGCACTAGTACGCATGTGCACAACCGGTATCCTGCGTTAAAATCGCGGTTATACGTAAGTACATATAACGACGAATAATAATATTTTTAAACATATATTAAAGAGAAAATCAATTTTGTAAATATTTCATAAAAAATGTTTTTCTTATAAAAGTCTAAACAACAAATATACATCATTGAAGTTTTAAATGCGGACATAAAACAAATAAGGAACTTTTTACGATAATATTACAATAACCTTATATCAAATATTTATTTCTGTTTTCGCTGGAATTATACTCCCAATTCAGTATATGCGTCAGGTGCATCGTCTTTCCATAATTCTTGATTATAAATTAGAAACACATAAATATATATGTATGTTGTTTAGCTTTAGTATATAGCTTTGCTCTTGACAACCGTGAAAAGAAGGTGAATTAATTTTAATCAACACGTACATTAGTTTAATTATTACTATTCTCAATTGTACTAATCTTAAAAGTAATTACTCTAATTCGTCCTGCCTGCGCATGCGCGTGTCCGTATATTTCTGCGTTATCTCTGTATTTCTGTATAAATCGCAGATATCGCGGTCACAGAGTCAGCCGACTCGGTACAATCAGTGCACATGCGCGATTAATATTGTGACGCATGGCTTGATCGTCAGTCTTTGCCTGTTCTCCGTACGGTGTTGACGTATTTACTCTCTCTGTTTTCCTCTTTTCTCTTTCCTCTCACTCTGTACTCTTTCCGGTTTTACGACACTTAGTGAAAGATTCGCCCTTTGCAAAATGGCGACGGAGGCTATCACCAGGAGAAAGCTAAATGAACAGGAGCAGAAAATAAGCAGAAACGGCTTAACCTTTTACGAAGACATCTTATCCAACGGCCATGCTGGTTTACAAACCAATGGACGTGTACAGGTTAGATCTTCATCGAGTCACGCGTATTAGTTTTACTTGATAATTCGGAGTATGCAACAAACTTTTCGACAATTAAAACTCGATTGGATATTAGTGCAATCTATGGAATAATTGTTTTGTGCCAGGTATTTTAATTTTCAATCATTTGATTTCGTGCAATATAAATGAACTTTATGTTAAGTTTATGTTACTAGTCAATATTTGTCGATTGAATATTGAACATTATTATTAAAGTTAATAAAGAAAAGTACGTAAAAATTAAAACTGAGATTTGCTATAGAAACAAGCGAAACACGTTTTGATTGTGATTCGATTAGTTTCAATGTATATCAAGCAATTTTCAATTCAAGAAATTTCGATTTAAAACAGCCTCGTTTTTGTACGATATTAATACGTATTGTGGTTCACGTTGCAATTGTTATTGAACTCGCATTTGACTAATTTTCTTTATTTAAACTAAAAGACGTTTTACTTTTTTATTCGGATACATATCAAAATAATGTTTTCTTATGCTAGTGTTTATCCTCGACTACTCGCGTGATTCTTTTAGCATTGTAACTATAACATTAGGCGGGAATTGCATCAATTACATTCTAGGAAAACGAAACAACTTGACTGTTACTTTGTACCATTGCTTGGGTCAGCTATAATAAATTGCGATAAGAGAAGCTAGTTTTAACGCAAGATTAGTTTTTCGTTGAATAATAACTATTCATATGGTAAATTCTTTCTCACCTTTTTAAGATAGTAACTTTAACAATGCTATCTTATACCTTTCTTTTCGATCAGAAAGTAATAAATGAAATTTCATGAACTTTTGCAATATAATAATTTAAATTTTTTGTGCATTAGACACACTATATAGAATAATAAGCAAATCGCAGATGTTTTATATATTTTTGAGAAACATAAATGTACAAAAATGTACAGAGTACACAGTATATTACCACAGGATACGTAATAATGTTTAAAAGACGACAAATGTGTTCATAAAGATATGAATTAAAATAGAAATCCGCAATCTAGAGATAAATATTGTATGTAGATTACGACGATAATGATCGACAGGTTTCCTGAATATTTTGCTCCACATTTTCCAAAGTAATTATTTCATTTAAAATATACATATAATTATTATTAACAATATAATTGACTTAACCATTGACGTGTTCGGCGTATTCCTAACCCAATTTTTGTTAAAAAATCGTAATATAGGAAACGAAATTACCAATACGAATTTCTCGTTGAATTGGAAATTTTCTACGTTCCCGCAATGCTGGTAAAAGTTCATTTTGTTGCAGTGGTTACTCTCGAACGTTTGTAAATTATGATTATCGTGTAATGGCAATTGACATTGGAAACATTTGCAATTATCAATTCGTGACCTTTAATTATACAAAACCTGAGTCATTGATAAATAAAGAAGTAGAAATATTAACTTTTTATCACATGTTTCATCGGTAAGCAAAATTTCTTCGAAACTAACCTCGAAATTCGAACGTTTAACAAGATAGCCTTTAAAAAATAACGATATTAATTGGTAAGATCAACAATTTGAAAATTTATGCCTATTTCATTAATTGAGTTACTATTCTAGTAATTTTTAATGTTAATTGCTCCAATTCTTATAATTTTCCGAAAGAGATTTATATACACGCATTATAAAAAATATATATTATGGAATGAGTAGACATGAAGCTCCATAAAATGCCAAATACAATCTAAAAGACTATATAACTGTTAAATGTCATCTTAAATTTTCATTTCAATATGCACATGCGCAACTATTATGTACCTATTATCAGTGTCAATCTTTATAGCCTTGCAATTGAGGTGTTTTTCGAATTATGGGCGTTTCTCCAGATAGTTTCTTTTAGTAATTTTTATCTTAATATTTCTAAGTAAACATCTATTTTTTAAAATCTATCTTTTGCATTTTTAATAACATTGATAAGATTAATGCGTAATGCGTTGCGAATTCGTGTACAAAATCAATAACGCATTAGTTTTGTCTACATAACTTATAGATGTTTATGTGTACCAAGTTAACGCTATAAAGTTACAAAACATTATGGTAAATTAAATTTTAACACATAAAAAATAACTTTATAAATATCTTTCCCGTTATTGATGTAATTTGACATCAAATTAAGCTGCAAATGTAATCCTTTTTTCATATTTGTTTTCTATTTAATAAATATATTGAAAAGCTTTTATATCTGTCTTTGTTGGTTTATATGTACTAAATTGTTCGTTTAATAAGATATCGTACACATATAGCATATACGTATATTTCAATGTAGCAATGTAGCGAAGAAACGTTATATTCGCAAAAAGAGCATATAGAAGCATTTTTTTTAATTTTTATCATTTTCTGCTGCAAGTAAAATACTCATCGTTTTAGTGTCATTTTATCGTACACTATGGATGAAGTTTACGTATTATTGATTTTATAGGTCCTCGTAAATATCGCAATTCTACATAGAAAAGAAAGTTTCACCATTGAATATCATGATTGAAACATGATTTTAACGGATATACCCTTATCCCAAATAACTCCTCAATTCTATTATTGAAAAAGAGTCATTAGTCCGAACATTAACGTAATTTTTAAGCCATCATTTCAAATTTCAATTCCAGCGTACACGATACTAATCTATATACATACGACTGTTCCTTAAACAGATTAATATAAGAAATTATTTTTTTTTTCAACTCTACAAGTGTTTTCCATTACGAAGAAAGCATGCTACTTATCCATCACCATTAATTATCTTACTTTTTTTCGGAATAGTTCAACTTGTCATGAAATCTCTCGAAATCATAAAATTTGCACTTTGCGGTTTGTATTTTCAAGTTCCTATTTCCAAGAATATAAAAAAAAATAACGCAATCAGCGATATCTTTCCGAGAAATCGATTTATCTACCGCGACAACTTATCTGTAATAACCATGACAGCTTAAGGTTCGTTTATATTCTGTCTTTACTCGTCCATGTTACTTCCGAATGAATTTTACATAACACAAGATCGTTCGATATTGATAAACGATTAAACAGCAACACAATAAGTCAGCGTATAATGCTTAAAAAAGATATGAGAGTCGTTTTCTTTTTTGTAGAACGCAATTCAATCGTTACGCGTGTCAATTATAAATTAACGGACCGTTAATTGTAAATTGCGGATTTTTATGCATTTATGAGAATCAGGATTTTCTTTTTATAGTATGATTAAATTTCTCCTTAATTTTGTTTTTAAAAGTACCGTGTATGCTTTCCATGTTTTTAATAATAGTCACAGTCTATATAATTTGTAGTACTTAGTGCTATTAATGCTTTAAAATACTTCATGATTGTTTCTCTTTCTCCCTTTCTCTCTCCCTCTCTCTCTAGTCATGCTCATAGAAACATGAATTTCCCATAAACATTCGCGGTCTAATTATCAATGAAAATGTATTGAAAACCGTATTTAGTTTCCAGAAAATAACACGAGGGCAGAGCCAGTGAAACCAAGATCAAAGGAGTCGTTCGAGAGGATACCGTTCATCACTGCTGTGTTAACGCACCTAGGGTTCTGTATCCTTATGTTTTTGGGTTTTATAAACCAATTGCTTTTCATCCCTAAAGTCGCACAAGAACACAATAGGAAGGTAAGACTACAATAACAAGTTTTAATAAAGTAAAAAATTTCCTCGCGTCATTAGGGATCACGCAGTGAAATAATTTATAAAAGTCGTGTAAACGCAATGTTATTACAAAACATAGATGAAGTTGTTGTGTTTAATAAACAATGTATATATTACAAAAATCCTTTAGAAAAATCGGAATCACGAAAACAATTTTTATAATACAAAAAAGAGAGTTTATTACACTTCACTATATTCTTACATAATATAAAATACATTTTTTCTATAGTCCTGATCTACGACAATAATGATTACATATACAGGATGGTTGGTAGCTGGTAGTACAAGCGGAAAGGGGGTGATTCTACGTGGAAAAAGAAGTCGAAAATATAGAATAAAAATTTTCTTTTTTTTTTTTTTTTTTAATTTTTCCATCGAGACAACGATCTACAGTGAGATCCGTTATAACGAGACGCGATAAAGTGCACGCGTACCGAGCGAAAATTCAAAGTCGATTTTCTCGGAAACAAAGCTTCGAACGAAAAATTTTTATTCTATATTTTCGACTTCTTTTTTCGCGTAGAATCACCCCCTTTCCGCTTGTACCACCAGTTACCAACCACCCTGTATATGTGTGTGTGTATATATTTGACCTAGTTCGAGAGATGAAGTTAATGGACGAATGATTTTGCGATTTGAAAGTCTAAGATCAAGAAAAATGAATGCGAATAACCACATACAAGCAACAAGGACTCAATGGAAAAAAGAAGAAAAGAAACTAAAAAGTAATGATCGAGCCGAAAATGAAAGTAATCGAGAAAGAGGGTCGCATGAAAGAGAAGTGGAATCGATTCCATTCGATTTGAATTACGATTGCTCGCTAAAGAGATTCGATTGATCGCAATGTAAAACAATCAGTAACCGCGGAACGTTCGTGCTCGTAATTTCTTTCAAATGGAACAGATAATCGAAATAATCATCCACGTTGTGTTACAGTTTCCTTTAAGCAATTTTTAATGCATGATATTCGTTTTATCACCGCAACATGAACGAGATTTTCGACGATGACAAAGTATTTTCTTAAAAATAATCAAAAGCTTATAAAGCTTATATCTTATTTGCGCGGCGCCAGTGAGGATTAACGAAAATAATTAATTAAAAACTCGATGAAAAGTATGAAAATTCTTTAATGTCATTAAAATTTTTTAAATAAACTATTTTATTTATCGAATCGAATTTCTCTGCGATATTTCAACAAATATTCGATAATCCTTTGATTAAGCTGAGGGGAGAGACTCGAAAATAAAATACAAGATTCGATATCTAATCTCGAGTTGAATCATAAATACACGTATATTTCATCGAAAGATCTGGGTCTAGTAAATTGATATTCTTCTATTTAGTATTAGATATTAATACAGCAGAAGATGGACAATTTGCTTTTTTTCTTTTTTAAAGGAAAGATTTCTTCCTCTCTTTCCCTTATGTTTAAGAGAATTGTCGTAATTTATATATAAATCATAATTTCTAAATAGCATTCGAAGGATTACTTTTATTATTAAACATATTTATTAAGTATACTTTTACAAAGACTTATATATTTTTATAAAGCCAAAGATCATTATACAACTTGTATAGGATGTTCCAAAAAAAAAAAAAAAAAAAAAACGAAAAGAAAGAAAAGAACAAGATAAGTGTGATCCATGGGAGACGTTTTAAATTGAAATTCATTCAAGTTACATTCATTCAGATATAAAAAAAAAAAAAAAAAAAAAAAAAAACGAAAAGAAAGAAAAGAACAAGATAAGTGTGATCCATGGGAGACGTTTTAAATTGAAATTCATTCAAGTTACATTCATTCAGATATGTTAAAATCTATTATTCTATTTTTCTCTGTTAAATCACTTATTTTGAGACATCCTGTAAATACTGTAGTGTACTACTTGCGAGAACAGTTCTGCGCAATGCTACACAGCCATATACAGTATATTGTACAGCTGTCTGGCCAATAATGCATTGACCAGTCTTGAAATATTCAAAAGGATGAATTTGAAATTTCATCTCATGTTAGAAAGATTGTTTAAAACTATTATCACTTTGCACATTGTAATCTTTACGAAATAATTTATTTAATTCAGCTCGTAATTGAATCTTTGTACTTTACAGCTATAAATCTATTTTCTGTTTTAATAAAGATATTTTTTTTATAGATGTATCTAAACCTTATAAAAAATTAGGCTGTCTCCACGTAAAATAAGTAATTCGTTTTACGTAAATATTCAAATCGTAGTAGCGTGCAATATGATTAAAAATAATATTTAAAAATTGTTCATTACATTAGAAGTTGTTATAATTTTCTTTCTGTTTCTTATTTTCTATTTTTTAATTTGCTTTTTTATAGAATTAATTTTTAAATAAGTCAGAGGTAAATAATTCTGATTTTCTCCGCAATTAAGATTATTCATTTGTCTATGGTGGATTAATTTATGGTGGATTGAAAATCTTTTCTTTGTTTCAGGGTTATGCAGCACTGTACGAACATTTTGAAGAATTTTATCTTCGATATGTTTACAGAAGAGTGAGGGATTGTTGGAACAGGCCCATATGTTCTGTTCCAGGTGCGACCGTTACACTTAAGGATAGAATAACAAAAGATTATGGATGGACGTTTCAGTAAGTTAGCGAAAAGTCTAAAAATATTTCATCAGCTTTAATACAAAATTCTGTGATTGATATTTATTGAATCTGGCATTAAATGAGATTTCATTACGAATAAAATCTGTAATTCGTACTGATATGAATTTTTTATGTATCAATTCTTATCTTAGTCATTTTTCTTGTTATTATACGTAAACTCTATTAATTTCAACGTGATTATTGTTAAATTTTGAAATGAATCTGAGGTAACATCAATGTGAAATGTACGGATTCGAAAATCGTAACTCGATTGGAGGTACAGGAAGGCAGACATTCGCCTTGATTAAATGTAATGAAGAACTCAAGGGGATTTGACGACTAGTGAGCGAGAAAGCAGATTTATAACTTGGAAATCAAATTCAATAGACTTTGATCAGCTTCATCGTTTTTTATTAATATCATCTAATTTTCAAGATCATTTCTATTTCAGTCTTCTCCCACCTTTTATTTAGGAATTCTGTTTAATTCGATTCAATATAAATTTTTATCGAATGAATTCATTAAATATATGTGTATATATATATATATACGATATTTTCACGTTTTAGTTAAATAAAATAACAAAATGGCAAATGAAAAATTGTAGTTTCACTATATCTTAATATTGTATCTAGTATTAAGTCATATCATTATTTTATATTTGCCATTTTTTTTATTTAGGTTTACAGGAACGACATCAGAATGTATAAATTTAGGGTCGTATAATTACTTGGGCTTCGCGGAGGCAAATGGTAAATGTGCTGATCAAAGTATTGAAACTTTGAAGAAATTTGGCTGTGCTAGTTGCAGTAGTCGCCTCGAACTCGGTAATGAATTTTTCTCGGTTTAGTTATAAATTTTTACTATAAAATAAAAATATATATATATTTTTGTATATTTAGGAAACATGCCAATTCACGAAGAATTAGAGCAACTGACGGCTAGATTTTTGGGCGTGGAGGACGCCATTGTTTTTGGAATGGGTTTTGCAACAAATGCTCTTAATTTGCCCTCGTTAGTAAGCAAAGGTTGTTTAGTACTAAGTGATGAAAAAAATCATGCTTCATTGATACTTGGGCTGAGACTGTCCGGTGCTATTGTAAGAGTGTTTAAGCATAATAGTAAGTTTGTAAAATAGTGTATGGACACCGGTGAAATCCGATATATTACTCGTCTAAAATGTTCAATTTTGTATTTTTATAGACATGAAGGATCTAGAAAAATGCTTAAAAACTGCAATAGTTTTTGGTCAACCAAATTCTGGAGAACCTTGGAAAAAAATAGTAATTGTAGTGGAAGGCGTTTATTCCATGGAAGGTTCTATTGTACATTTACCTGAGATTTTGCAACTCAAGAAGAAGTACAAAGTGCGTACATTTATTTATACATATGCAACTCCACTGCAATGTATCTAGAATATTAAAGTGTAATTGAATGTAACAGGCATATCTTTATTTGGACGAGGCTCATAGCACTGGTGCATTAGGTAAACGTGGAAGAGGAGTTTGTGATTATTATGAAGTTGATCCAAGAGAGGTGGACATACTAATGGGTACTTTTACAAAAAGTTTTGGATCTGCTGGAGGTTATATTGCTGGAACAAAGGTGAACAGATTTTTGAGGAATATTCTCATAATTATGAATATAATGTCCTTTCTTGATATCAGAAATTGATGATAATAATGTTTCTATAATTCTAGTCATTAATAAACCACTTAAGGATATACAGTCACGCACATACTTACGCAGTAGCCATGTCACCGCCGATAGCACAGCAAATCATAACTTCGATGAAAATAATTACCGGTGAAGATGGTACAGACGATGGAAAGAGAAGAACGAAACAATTAGCAAGAAATACTAGGTACTTTAGGCGCAGACTTAATCAGATTGGAGTTATTATTTATGGGAACGAAGACTCGCCTGTTGTACCTATGTTAGTTTACCTGTTTTCTAAAATAGGGTATGTATCCAAGATTATAGTGTGAGGAGATGAAACAAATTGAAAATCAAATCGTAATTATGCTTCCAATTAACAGCGCAGTCGTGCGAACGTTAACTACGTATAACATAGCTGCAGTAGGTGTTGGATTTCCAGCAACTCCGTTAATGGAAGGCAGAATACGATTTTGTCTTTCTGCTGCACACACTAAACAACAACTAGATTATGTAAGTGTATACATTTTTTTGCTAGTCTATCTTCTCTTTTTACTCTTTCTTGAACACGAGTATTATTTCTAATTGAGATTTTCATTTTTCTTTTCTTCATCTAGGTGTTGTCACATATTGAGAGTCTTGCAGATTCCTTGGGTTTAAGATATTCTCGTAAAGTTCGCGATCCAGCGCCTATTGAATATTATTCCGATGGAGAGGCAGAATGACCTGCTATGTAGAAAATAGACTCTCTAGGATGTTCACTTTGCTCCAAAGAAGCCTCTCGTATTTCTATGGAGAAACACTGCCTTGAAAGAACTCTACACGCATTCTTTTATATGCTTTTCCATTGATGCCCACACTGTACCTCTTAATTGAATCGCAAATAACAAAAGAATACACACATGTGTGTGTGTGCGTGCGTGTGTGTGTGCGTGCGTGCGTGCGTGCGTGCGTGTGTGTGTGTCGCTATCATTATGACATCATAAATTAATAATCCATTATTTTAGAAGAAACTGCTTCTTCTTCTTCCTTTTTTTCGTATATCGTTGGAAATTCCACATGAACGAAGAAAGTGTCGAATATTTTTAAAGATTTTTCACACTATGTACAACGAATTACAAAATATTACGGAGAAGCCAAGAGTGCGTCAGAGTTCAATTGGCCCGTTATTTTACGTGCACGAAACTCGTAGAGGCATATGCACATATCGGTGGCTGTGATATGCCAGAAATCCTAGATTCACAAGGTAGTACTAACAGAGGAAATTTACTCAAAGTAGTTCTTCCTTCCCGAGTAAAATAGAAAAGTTAGAAGTTCGATATTTTTCTAAAAGAAGGGAAAAGATCGAACCACGATTTTACTGAAGATATTTGGAAGCTCTTTGATAAATTCTACACCGCACTACCGAAATTGCATTTACTTCATATCAAGCTTTTACATCAAAATTTAATCCCTATTGCTATGGCAAATATCTTAGTATTACGAGGTATGCAACAGCATAGAGCTTTGTAAATTTATTTACTTTCCATTATATGTTTAAGAAAGTTCACGCATACACGCAAATACATATACGCAACGAACAGTTAAGGTAAGTACTTGACATATTTAATGCAAAAGATACACATCTATGCGCAACAAATACCGGAAATAATACTTTGAATTTATCGCAAGTGATAAATTATCTCCGGTTATTACAGCAAGAGGGTTTAAATTTAAGATGACAAAATATAATGTTTTTTCTCACTTAAATATTATACAAATTTATACTACGATGCTACGATTAAAAATTTATTTTTTTTAATAACGTTTTAAATAGTTTTATAGCGTTCTTTCCAGTCTGCATTTCTTCTTTTAAGGCGAGCGTCATGTCCAAAAAAGAAAATAAAGCATTTTATACTTTATTTTCTGCAAAAGGCGCACGTTTTCAGAAGTGATAATTTCATATATTTTTTTTATTTTTAGAACGATATAATATCATATGATTAAGTATTTGATTTTGTAAAGAATTGCACATTATCGGAATAGCTGCACAAACTTTTTAATATCATTTTTCTATTTAGAGTATCAACTGAATTATATACTTTTTAAAAAGCAACAACATATATTTCGTTTCACCATAATTGCAAATAGTTTCTAAGAAATTGTCGTATCGATCTAATTTATATTTAAAATCATGTTTTATATTTAAATTGAAAAGAATGCAACTTAATGATATAAATTTAAAATAACAGAAGAAATGAAATTAATATTATGTATGTATATTAAAATTGAATTCAATTGTAAATGAAACACTTTCATCTGCGATTGATTTATGTATATTAAGCGAAACTTTATTTTAGACGATATGACACGTGCGAAAAATAAAATATTTTATGGTAAAAAAAGAAATATAATTCAACCTAAAAAAAATAAAGCAATTTTTTAAATACAATTTGTATTATTCTTATTAATATAACACTATTATTTCATTAATTAATTAAAGAAGAAGTAAAATATTGTTAGGAGACGTTGGTACATCAAATTTGTATACGGGAAAGAAGATTTTGAATTCTTCCCAAGATAATGCTATTATCGCAAATGCAATCGGCGGGTTCATACGGTGGTTTTATTGAAAGTACATTTTCTATCGTTAAAATATCGTCCTGTTCTTTTACGGGGAATCTATTTTCTTGCAATAATTTTATTACAGCACTTTTTCGCTTCTCTACTGTTGATCGAAGAATACTTGTTGGCGCGTTCATAAACAATTGTGGTAATTCGCATAATTGATTTGGAGAGATCTCTATATTTTTTATCGCATGGCCAAATACAATTTTTAAATTATTTTGTTGGCAGCCTTGTAGGAGTACAATACTGCAAAACAATTTATCAATTATTTATAAAAATATATATGTAAATAATACCAAGGAGTTAAAATATTATATGAAAGATTTTCTAACCTTTCTGATACTGGATCAACCGTATAAACAATACCAGAAATCGTGTTATTATCTTCAGTTGAAATGTTCACTTCTTTACCAACGTAACTCTTAAATAATAAGGGATCATTTTTGTAAATTTTATGGGAAAAATGCGAATTCTCTTCCATGACTCAACGATTTATCTTGCAAAGAGTAATGTATAATCTATTATACAAATTTAAAACTCGTTTAGATTTACAGACAATTCTGTATAACCACGTGTTCGTTGACACTGTCTCTTATTTCTTATTGTCCATTTTATCACAAGACCAAAACTCAATATATATTGATTAATATAAAATTATAATTTGCGTACTAACTGTTATCAAATTATCTGTGATTAATATATGAGTTGTAAGCTATTTATGAACTGTCTAGTAATTTTCATGTGAAATCTAAGCTATTTACGAACGACTACTGGTTTTCATATGAAATCTAAGTAAAGCATAACCTACATAAAGTACTTGATATTTGACAGTTGTATCATAAATAAACAGTTAATTGAAAACTATAAATAGATGAAGTTTAAAATTAGTAACTGAGAAGTGGGAATTAATTACATTGTAATTTGAAATAATATAATCATGGTTATTTATGGTGTTTATATCGTATCAAAATCGGGTGGACTAATATTTAATCACGATCACAACGTTCCACGAATTGAAAATGAAAGGACATTTAATTTTCCTCTTGATATAAAATTAAATTACGAAAATAAGAAGATTGTCGTCTCATTTGGGCAAAAAGATGGAATTAATGGTAAGACATCTCTCTCACTTCCAAAAAAATTTCTTTATATTTCACGATTGACTAATGTTATTCGTTTCTTGCAGTGGGTCATGTTTTAACTGCAGTAAATGGTAGTCCCGTAATAGGTCGCGAATTGGAGAATGGGAAAGATGTGTTTGAATTGCTAGAACAACCAGAGAATTTTCCTATGTCGCTTAGATTTAGTCGAGCGAGAATGACAACCAATGAAAAAATTTTTTTAGCATCAATGTTCTATCCTCTATTTGCAATTGCTAGTCAATTAAGTCCAGAACCCCGCTGTTCTGGCATTGAAATTTTAGAAGCAGATACATTTAGATTACATTGCTACCAAACATTGACTGGAATTAAATTCATTGTGGTAGCAGAACCTACACAAAGTGGGATAGAAATTCTGTTGAAAAGAGTATATGAACTATATGCAGATTATGCTTTGAAAAATCCTTTTTATTCACTGGAAATGCCAATTAGATGTGAATTGTTTGAGACTAATTTACAAAGCTTATTAGAAAATGTTGAGAAGTCTGGTGCTAGCAACGTATAATCCATGATAAGGTAATTATCTTATAAATAATATTACACAAAACTTGTACAAAATCAATGTTGGTTAAGTCAGATGAAACTTGTTAACATTTTGTATGACTGGTATTGTAAAGTACAATGTATTAAACTGTAAATGATACTGAATGTAAATAATCAAGATTCTCGTTTATACTTAATATGAAACATGTACAATTTATTAAAGTAGTTTAAAAAATATATTATTACTTGTGCAAGAATGATTAAGAATTAAATTGAACTACAATTTATACAGATTTTGCCTTAAGTTCCTCAGTTTTTTTAACAAAACTGAAAATATCATCAGCTAGGAGTTTAGGTTCTTCAAAAGCTGCAAAGTGTCCACCACGTGGCATAATATTATATTGAATTATGTTAGGATATCTTGATTTAAGCAAACTTTTAGGCTGAAGTAATAGTTCCTGTGGGAATGCTGCACAAGCTGTAGGTACATTTATGGGCAATCTGAAATAAAATGTATTTTTAAACATTCGGTATAGGCACAAAAAATTCATAAATTTATAGAATGAGATAAACTTACTGATCAACTTTTAAAGCTCTATATGCTGAATTAAAGTTCTCAGCATAAAGTCTAACACTTGTAGTAATGCTGTTACTGACCCAATATATCATTATATTGTCTAACAGCTCATCTAACGTATATTTTTCTGTTAAACCACCATCATCTCGTTCTTTATATGCTTTATTTGTCCATGTGCTGAACTTTTCCAAAATATATGCCGCTAATGCATCAGGCGAGGCAGTTAATGCAGCGCCTGAGGAACAGTTTTATAAATTTTAAATCTTATAATTTATATATAATTTATATATGTACATTTAAACAATGTATATCATCAATAACTTTCAACAGAGGAAGCAAAAATACCTATAGTGTCTGGCTTTGTAGCCTGTATGTGTAAATAACCACTTTCTTCAACTAGGGTAGACAAAGCTGTACTGAAGGGATAATAGAGTGAATAATGTTCGTCTGCTCCTACTAAAGATGGGAAATAGCTACCAATAATTGACCAAGCGAAATTAGACGCTGACATCAGGACGACACACATGTTTGCGTGTAAACCAGTTATTCTAAAAATCAAATGCATAACGTTTCATTTCTTTTAAAAATGTATATTACTATTATTACTAACTTTTCGGGGAATAGAGCAGCCATGTTAGCGGCAATAAGAGATCCCCAATCACCTCCTTGGACATAAAACTTTTCAAAGCCAAGTCTATGCATCAGATTCTTGAATACTACAGCCATCTGAGAAAAGAGTCAGTAGAATATAACACGTACGTCAGTCATATTTTTGTGTAAATAAAAAAGAAAAGCGTTACCTGACTAGTGGCCATGCCCGGTCGTACCGCTCCTTCTGAGAAACCGTATCCCGGAAGTGACGGTGCAATAACTTCGAACACGAAGTTCTGATTAGGCCAAGGTTTTGTTAGTATGGGTATAATTTTTTGGAATTCCACAACTGATCCCGGCCATCCGTGTAGGATTAGCAGAGGCAGAACTTTTAAGTTCTTATCCTTTGGTAGATTTGTTGGTTTCACATGATAGAAATGTATATCCAAACCTAACATTTTTAAGTTCTTTACTTTTAACTTTGTTTAGGATTTTTTATTAATTAAAAAATATGCGAATTGTTCCATTACCTTGAATAGTTGTGATAAACTGAGGATATTTGTTTAGCAACGCCTGTCTTTCAGTCCAGTTATATTTATCTCTCCAATAATCAAGTACCGTATTGAGGTATTTAGTCGAAATACCGTAAGTCCACGCAACATCTTCCAATGGTTGAACGTACGTTCTTCTATGTGTCAAGCGATATTTTAAATCATCCAAGACCTTTGAACAGTTTAGGAATACTTTTTAAAATATAATCAGAAGATTAGAAGCAAAAAATAAATCTTATTTGGTTCTTTATTTACCTTTGCTGGTACATCGATCTTAAAGGGTCGTATTTCTGTAGACTCTTTTACATTTTTCTTCGGTCCCCAGTTTGTCTCCGGTAACGTTGGAACCTTATGTTCTTCCGAGGAACTAAACGAATTATTGAATTTATTTATGTAATAAATAATAATTAGTCACAGGTAAAATAAGAGATCTTTGTGTTAAATAATTGTGAAAAAAGATTACAATATTTTAAATATTAAAATCTTATGTTGAAATGTAGTTAATTGATTGTATTTTTGGAAGTTTACACTCATGACCTCCGTAAATCGAAATCATGTTTTCTCAACTTGTAAGTAAGAGTGTTTTATCAAATATAACTTCGAAAATGATAAGATTTATTTTAAAAATATAATACCAATATCTTATAAATGACGAGTAATCAATCTTCGTTCTTAAGCTATGTACAGGCAGTACCAGGCATGCTTCGCGGTTCTGCTTTATAAAATATTCTATCGGTAAAAAATGTGCAATATAAAATTATTTTACGGTGTAATTTCATGATTTAATTCAAAACAATAATATTTTGATATTTTCTGATAATGGCGTTTTGTTAGAAAATCAATTTACATAGATAGAAGCGTAAGTATTTTGTGAATAATATTCAAGATGGATAGAAATGCAACAATAAGAACATTCCTACTAGCATTTTATTAGTATGCTCGTTGTTAGAAATGCAGAAACAGATCTTGATTTTGTGATATTTGAAAGTCATGTAATTGTAACTGCTATGGTGATTAGATAACATCACAGCTGGACATTCTATTCTTAAACTGTTGTAAGTAGCAACAGTAACTGGCAGTAATTCTACATCGTTATCAATGAATTTCGAATTATCTTATTACAAATAAGAAAATCTAATCTCAATAGATGTCAAAAGATCTTACGTTGCATAAATGGAAAATAATATTGTTTGCTTGTTTTATTTGATGCTTATGACTTTTTATATTGTAATGTAAACTACGTGTCGTATGTAGGTGATAGTTTAAAGTTAGTGATAAAGTACAAAAGTCAACACTATAATAGTATAGTGGTTTCTAATGAATGATAATTACTATTTTTGCTAGTCATCGCACGATATAGCGAATGCTATTAATAAAACAGTTACTTGACAACAGTCAAAATATAAGAATAACATAGATTTATCACTTCTATCTCTTTTAATCAAATGAATTTTCTTTTCTTACTTTAATCTTACACCGAATTATAAATGATTTGAACGATGAATAAAATTAAGCATTTTATACGTCGATTAAACGACTACATTAGATTTGCAATCTTGTAAATATTACATTTATGCTTTAAAATATTAAGTGTACGAAATAACGAAAGAAAAATACGTATATGATTCCATTTTATCAATGTCATTGTTCTTCTTATTCAGATGGATCAATTGTGAAAATATCTATACGCGATTAGATATACTCGATCGAGGGTTTTGTTGTATGGTAAAGACTATACGCTATAATATATATGTACTTGAACATATAGAAGAGAATATATGTAAAATAAATGTGACCTTCATTCACCAATTAGTAATTCCTCCTAAATTCAACATGATGATATAATTCAATAGTAAATATTACTGATGTCAATATAGTTTAGTCAATTAATAGAAATGCTATTTTTAGTTTTATATATTTTTGTATTATTTATTTTCAAATGGAAAATCTAATTATATAAAAAATTACGCTAAAATTATAGATCAAATACTTGTTACTACGCTGTTACTAAATACTTGTTTATTCAATAACCGTCTATTATTATGGGTGTAACTAGCGCATAGTAATACGTTGTAAGTAGTAAGTTGTAACCGAATAATCGTAAGAATTAGTTGAATTTGTTTTTAAGCCATGGTATCTAAGAATTCAGAGATATTGATTTATTGATTTGTAGTACACTAATAAATGAACAAGGAAATTAATTTTACGGATGAATACGTATTACATAACATGTGACATAAAACGTTTGTAACGGAAATTAAAAAAATCCTGTTTCCTCACAAAATATGCAAATCATACGTGCCGAAGCTTTTAATTTTCAATATTTTATAACTTAAAATATTCTGTTTGTTTTCTAAAATACTCATAAATATTCAAATATTCCTTTGTGATGAATATTAAGGTCTCCCTCTAAGTTTAAAATATGATGAATTATACAATTATTCACAAAATTATGTACAAATAAGATTTTCTTGTTTTAAAGCTAGTTTGTTTATAGATCAATCAGAGAATGAGAAGCCGACGCAAAAGGATCAAGCATAAACAATAACCGTTATGTACGGTTGTTGTTGTGGAGTATTGATGTTGTTAGTAATATAGTTTACAATTCACTATCTTCTAATTATCTTATAACATCAATGAACTTACGATAAAAAGATAGCTATTCCAGTGGTGCAAAGCGCTATCACCGCTGCAATTTTCAACATTTTATACCGAACGTATTTTTCTCCAGTAATGAAATTATACAACTAGGTAACAAGACGTGCGATCGTGAGGCAAGCGAGACTTCAACAAACATTTATAGTAGAGATTTGTAGAGGAATATATCGTACATTGTACATCGTACATCATTATCAAAGTAAAAGAGAGGGAACTTGATTTTCAGCACCATCTGCTGGCCAATCGCAATCGTATATGTATGTACAATTGTATGTATGTAGTTATAGCTACATATTGGTACTAGAATAATTTGTTTCAAATCTTACGACAGATTACGATTGAAATTGGTAAGAATATATCTAATTTTATGCAAAATATCATAATACCATCTACATTTTATTTTTCTGGATTATAAAAGAAATGATTGTAGTTAGAAAATAAAGAACTGTGATTTTTTGATAAAAGGAAGAAAAATTTGCGATGATTCAATAGATGTGTATCATGATTGCTATTTTTAATTTTAAATGAGTTCAATGCGTTGCATTGTTTTTGTAGTATTAAAAAATGCTTAAAATTACAATAGTGTTTTCAAATTAAACTCAACTCTTAACTAATTTTTACGTAAATTGATTTCAGTCTAAGGAATTTGAAATTTCAGCTGGAAATGATTACGTATGTATATTATTTGAGATTGTACGTAATATAATTTTACGATAAAATTGATTCGAATACAAGTATAATATTAAAACAAATAATTTTATTCAATAGATAATTAGGTCGAAAAATAATTACAGTTGCAATACATAAAGCTTATTAATAA